GTGTATTTTGTTATAAGCAACAAAAATGGACTAACACATCTTTTAATAAAATTCCTTTTGATTAGGAGCAAATGTAACAAAGATGAACTATTATAAAATGTTTTAGCAAGAGGTTTGAGGTATTTTTTAAGTAAAAAATAATCGTGTACACAAGGAAAGATGAATATTGTGTTCTTCTATGAAAATATAGGTTGGGAACTGTTGGTTCCTTCCAGTGTGGGAATAATGACTAGTAGTTAGAATACCAACCAACAAAGACCAAACTGAAGAACAGAGTGTTGGAGGGAAGAAAACTATACAAAATATGGTCAAGGCACTCCTTTTGGATGAACTGGGCCTCAGTAAATGTTCCCAGGCTATGGGAAGGTACACCACATTTTCTGTGTTCCTCTTTACCCCAAATAACCAAGAAGGTCCTTACTTTTGGAAATGGCTTTCAAAGCAGTATTCAAAAACTCTCTAGTTACTTCTTTATTTATCTATCTATTTCTTTGCTTATTTATCTGTTCATTAATTTCCTTAACTCATTTTATTAAAATGCAAGCCTGACAAGGTCAAGGGTCTTTTCTGTTTGTTCACCTAGAACAGTGCCTGCCACACAGTAGATGCCCAATAAATACTTATAAATGTTTGAACTAATTCACGCTTTCATTTCTCAAATGCTTACTGAATGCCTACCATGTGACAGGTTTTCAATATACAATATTAAAAGCCAATTCCACTGTAAATAAAATCATATCAAGAGAAATCTTAAAATTAGAAGAATCAGGCACTCTAAAATTCAGTGTAAATTCAAAATAAGAGGACAAGCCGAAGAAGAATGGCAGGAGAAAATGTAGATCACTGTGGCCCATGTCTCAAAATGATATAACGGAAAGCAAAACTCAGGTTAAAAATGAAATAATTGGGGAGTGGGTATAGCTGCCGAAAGGTAGCACCAGAAATCCTTGTGATGATGGGACAGTTCTGTGTCTGGACTATGGTGATGGTTACACAAATCTATATAGATGATAAAACTGCATGTAAGTAAATACACTCAACACACACACAGGCACACAAAAATGAGTACATATAATACTGGAGAAATCTGAATAAAGTTGGAACATTGTACCAATATCAATTTCCTGGTGTAATAGCATTTTATAATTATGCAAGATGTTACCAGTGAAGGGCACAAGAGACGTCTTTGTAGTATTTCTTACAACGGCATGTAAATCTATAATTATTTAAAAATAAGTTAACAAAATAAAATCAACGAGTAGGACGCTTACCAAAACATTCTTTGTATTAGCAAAGTATTGAAACCAAGATAAATGCCCAATAATGGAGTAAACCTACATGACAGCATATTGAATAACTAAAAATTATACAACTCTATGTTTGTGCCATGGAAAGGTGCTCACATTCAGTAAGTAAAAGAAGAGAGACTTACAAAACATGCAAGTACAATCTAATTTTCTTTAAAAAAAAAAAAAAAAGCATTTGTAAAGGTATATTCCAAAATGTCATCAGGATCTATCTCTGCCTGTTAGGATTGTGGGTGATCTTGTTTTTTCACATTGCTTCACCATGTTACCTCTTTTCTTCTCAAATGAGCAATATTACCTAACAAATATCTAAAAGGACATCTGTCCTATGGATGGGGCTCAGGGGAATTCTGTATAGTTCTGGAACAAAAATCAAAACAAATGGGGAGATTACATGGAAAGACATTTCAGTCCAATATGAGGACCAGCGAGCTACCTGTAGAGCAGTAGAGCATGAACCACCATCTGCCCCTGGCCTCCAATGGGAATGGTGTTCACCAGGACCTGGTGGATTCCTTATTAGCAATGATGTGAATGGGAATCTGGCTCATGCAGGCTGGGAGGTGAAACCCAGTTGCCTTCCAATTCTAAAACCCTGTGCCATTTGATTGTGCAATGAATTTAATGGACATCGACTCTCATTTTAAAAGCCCCTTTTATGTTTCAAAGCACTTTCACATATGCTGGTTTATATTAATTTCAGTTTGGCACTTTAAAAAAAAATCCCATCCCTATGACAGCTCTGTAGAGTAAGCAGGGCAGGTATTATCACCTGCATTTTACTGAAGAGAAAACTGAGGCAGCCACAGAGTGATGTCCTTTTACATTGCGGGGTGAGACAAAAGTGAGTTAGGAGATCTCATCTCCTTCTCTTGCCCTCTGGCCCCACTTCTCTTCCCTCTCACACTATACAGCCTCCCCCATCCCACCAGGGTTTGGAAACTGGGTGGATGTGACCTAAAGATGCTTGCATGATGGGTGCTAGCTGAGTGGAAAACCAACAATGTTTACCACAGAATGAGAAAAAGTACCAACAATGATAATACCCATCTGATATTCCCACTAATTTACATGGACTCAATGTCAAGTAGCCAATGTGTCAATTTGGCTTAAAAATCATGACCTACCGAGCCAGCTGGTTGACTTGAACAGCCCAAGAGGCTGGTGGTGAATCTAGTTGGAGACTTCAATCGATATACTTCTCCTGTACCTGTGTCCTCTATAGTCCCAGGGAAGGAGCCCATAGTTGGGCTTCCGAGCCAGCTGGTTGACTTGAACAGCCCAAGAGGCTGGTGGTGAATCTAGTTGGAGACTTCAATCAATATACTTCTCCTGTACCTGTGTCCTCTATAGTCCCAGGGAAGGAGCCCATAGTTGGGCTTCTGAGCCCGTTAAATAGTGAATGGGGTCCATATTGGGCTTAAAGAAGCAGGGCTTTGTTACTTTTACCAAAGGAATTAACAGAGGAATTTTGTATTTATTTTACAGTGGCAGCAGATTAAGCACTTTAGCAATACTGTGGCAATTCACCAAAAGAGGTCTTAGTTAGGTGCTATCTGAAATCATGAAATTAAGTGGGAAAACATACACATGGAAAAGGTTTATATGTTTTAGAAAAATAAATCTGAATTTTAGATAAATGATACTCTTCACAAAGTATATTAAACAAATGACATATTTTCATTGGCTGATAGTGCCACTTATACACATATATCATTTTCTGTGTGCCAAGTCCTCTGCTGAGTACCTCTCCTCACAGCCACCCCCATGCAAGTCCTGATGGGAGGAAACTGGAGGGACAGCAACGTTAAGGGCATTGCCCCCAAGTCACACAGCCACCAAGTGGAAGCAACAGGATTCCAACCCCAACCTGATGACTCCCAAACCAGCATACTTCACCATTATTTGTTCTCTCAAAATGTTGAACATACATGCTCATTTTATAAACAGGAAGTAATGAAAGTTTCCTTATAATGGCATAATAAATCACTTCTGGAGGTGTAGAGTTAACTTGGGAACAGCTAGAGAACAAGGAGAAAAACTAGACTGTACTTGACACATAACACAGGAGGAGGCAGAAATGGGATAAATGAATGGAAAAGAATAAAGGCTGATGGAATCTTTGTACCTATACTGTTAGTACATTAATAGTGGTATTGGTTCTTGTTAATAAATTATTGATCAAGGTGAAAATGTCAGGGATGCTTGAAATACTTTTCTTCTTAGCTACATAAAATTCAACCTCCAGCATTCAGTTTATTCAGTCACTCAACAAACAGTTACTGAGTACCCACTGCCCGCCCAGCACTGCTCTGGGCAGCATGATTAGTGCAGTGACTCAGACAGAAGTTCCAGACAGTGAAGTTCTCACAAGCTCCACGAGTAAATGAGATAGTAGAAAGGAAGCTTGAGGGAGAAGACTTTGGTTTTAATCCTAGCCAGATGTCCTGAAACAAATTATTTGAATCACTCTGACTTTCAGTTCCCTCACCTCTAAACTGAGTATAATATCTGTTTTTATTATATCATCTTTTACTGGGAAAAATACTAGTGCATATCTGAAAATGACTACCTATTCTTTGGTCTTAGAGAAACTGAGGTAGTTGATGAGGAGGAATAAAAGTTTCGTCCTCATTATTAAATCCTTCAAAATATTTCATTCCATATTTTCCATGATCTAAGCTTTCTGGGTTTAATGTTAACCATGTGTAAGACTTGCTGGGTCATGATAAGGTCACTCTTCCATACCTAGCCACCAATTTCAAAGTCTGTGTTACAGGCTTAAGATGCATAATTACGTACATTTCCCCTTTTTGTGGAAGGAAGTTGGATTTAAATTATATCTTAGTGATTATTTCATTTTAAAACTTACATAGAGAGACGCTGCTTCTTGACTACTTCTTTAGAAACAGATTCACTGCAATTGATTGTTATTAAAATCTTTCATTCATTTCCTTGTTTCTTTTTCTTTGTTCTTCCCTGACGCTATTATTTCATTGCGAGAAGGAAATAAGAGCTAGGTGTAGGTAGGTGTGTCACTGGACCACAGGAGTGACCGTTCCCAAGCACTGAACCACAACTTATTGATTAAATCAAAGAAAACAATTGAATCCAATCCAATATCCCTCTTTTACCTGCCCAATCCCCCATAGGGGGAGGGGATGTGTGGGATTTCCAGCCTATTTGTATCAGCTCAGCAAATCAGAGTTCTGATTTCTAAACAAAGAGGTGCCAATCTTGAGAGTGTATAAAAGCCAATACAAGCCAGGCATTGTACACAAGTGAAAAGAACATAATTAGCAAAGTTATAGTCACAATTAGGAAATACCTCCTCAGAAAAGTTTCCACTTAACTCTGAGCAGTGCTCAAATTACCATTGTGCTTAACGAGGCCTCTGTCTCTCAGCTGGCTCAGACCTTTGCAACAGATCTATGAATCCCAGAGCCACCCACAAGACACAAACACACACAATCGCATGCTGGGTATATTTTTTCAAATAACAGATATAAAAAATGTGCAAATTGAGGCAACAACGTTAAGAAATAAGAAATGTAGTCTCAGAAATGACTAGTCAAATGTAAGCTAAATTATTCTTTCTCTGACCTCCTTTACCCTCTTCTCTAGCCTTTCCCCTTTCCCACCCTCAAAGACAGGTTAGAAGAGAGAGACTTCGGAAGCTGAAGTGGTACTCACTTCATCTCCAGGATCTCCTCCAACTGCTTTCTCCTCTCTATCCGGAGGTTGGCCAAATGCGCTTCTTTCTCAGCCAGGGACTGCTGTGTGGAGGCGAGGCGTGCTTTGGTTGCATCCAGTTCCTGTCTGGTCTTCTCCAACGCATTCATCAGCTCCTCTATCTGAAAAGCACATGGAGCTCGGTGTGTTATTTCTCCTTCGCTCAAGCACAGGGCATTCCTTGCTCGTCTGTGTTCCGACAGTAAACACAAAGGAATCAGAGGTATCCTTGAACCAGGCACTGTGTCTTGGAACCCATTCTTCCTTTGTCACCAATTAAAAATAAATGTTTCATACACAAGAAATGTCCAAATATCTCCAGGGTCTGCATTCAATTGGATTGCCCAGTAACCTTTATAGAAACTAATGTATTTATTAGAAGTGTGGGGTGAATGGCTTGACCCAATTTCAACCTGTGTTTGGTCAAAATCTCAGATACCTCCCCACAGTTGGAGGAAGGCAACATTCAAAATACATTTGCCTGGTGCAATATACTTTTGTGTGTAGGCCCCAGAGTCCTTTGACAGGAAGTTGATGTACGTATTTTAGATTCATTCATGTTTTCACCTATCAAAGCCTTATTTGGCAAAAGCTATATGATGTCCAAGGGGCCTCAGGAACCCCTCTCACCTCCCCTCCCTGACTTACATTCAGGAAGCAAGGTTTGGCCAAAAGTAAACAGAATTCCAGTCACAAAAGGTTCACGTTTAGTTTGCCCCTGAAGTTTGAGAGGGTTCTAAACTTGAAATAAATGACATGTAACTTTTATAGAGTGCTAATACACCATAGAAATAAGCCAGACTATCAAATATCCAGAATTTTCAGCCAGGTCCCAGAAAATTGGACGAGGGAGCCTCAAAGCAAGGCCTTCCCCTCCCCAAACCGTTGGGGACTTTTAAAAGCCAATACACAACAAAGAGGTCTGGTGTTTATGGTTATGTTCCAGAGACTTCCGTGGAGCAAGCTGGTGAAATGCCATTCCTCGCACAGATGCAGGCTGCATCCACCCTGCTGATTCAAAATCATGATTCCAGGAAGTTTCTAGATTCCAGAGCTGATGTTTGGGTTTCTAAGCCTCCCCTTCCAGCTGAACTTGGCAGTATGGGCTCATCCATCACTAAAGTCAACAGAACACCCTTCAAAATGTGTCAATGACATGTTAAGTTCCAACTCATTAAGACTTTCTACACAATTTCTGCAGTTTTACATGGAATTTATTCAGAATAAGCATTATAGTTCACATCCAAGGTAAATTACATGCTTTTAAGATTCAGAAAACCCTTCATTAGCCCTGATAAAAAGGGGAAATTTAATGATCATCTGATTTAAGTCAAAGCCAAAACCAAAAACAGTTTTAAAAGCAAGGAACATAAAGGATAACCTATGAAAGTCACAGAAACACACCTGTTTAATTGTGGAATAAATACCATTATTCTTTAACCTTACAAACATGTAAAATTTAAAAAGTAATCATAAACTTTTTAGTTCCTCATATAAGCTCATATAACACCACAAATATGACTAGAAACCTTTACACAAAGCAGTATGTGATGAGGTTAAAGCAGAGTTTTTAATTTTCCTTTTTTTTCTTCTATTTTTGATACACTCAATAGTAGTGTCTATATATATCAGAATTATGGTCATTCCAAGTGCCAGTTCAGAAAGTCTCCTTGACCCTCCATATGAGATGGCCTGTGTCCTCACAACACCATTTCCTGTCACAAATTGTTCTTTATTCCAAACGTGCTATGGGTCTCCAGGATTCTCATCTGCCAAAACCCTCTCTCGTTAGTTGCTGTTGACCTGTCTGCAATCTATAGACACAGAGCCACTCAACTGGGTCTCCAAATTCTTGGTTCATCTGTGACTGAATTGCTTGGGGCAGACTCCAGTTACCTTAAACCAACTTTAAACAATTACACTTTGGAGTAATGACTTGCAGGCTGCCCTAGGTGTTTCAGCAATAACTACAAGGAGAAACCAGTGCACCAAGGAGATGTAATCCAGAGTTTTAACTGATGAAGATGCCATTGGCTTCTGATATCAATAACTCCTAGCTTCAGGTGAGACTACTTTCAACACTTTGGAAATATGTTCCTGTATTTCCCAGGCCAAAGCTTCCCACTCATCTTAATTTGTGTGGTCCTGGACAGTGAATATTGTACACTGAGGACCACATGGGGCACTGGCATCAGATACACCTTTCTAGTCTTGGCATGACCACTGTGTCTCTCTGAAACGTTTTACTAACAATCACTGGACCCTTGGAGTCTCAGTTTCCTAGCGATGCCCATGGTTACTTCTGTGTTTAATGTTCTAGATAGACTTCTGCAAACTGTTTGAATTGCCACCAAAACAGGAGCATTCAAAAGCAAGAAATGTTTTCCCTGTTGGTGGTCATTAGGGTGGTTCAAAATATTCCAGTTGTCCTTATGTGCACATGGTAGGACCACATTTCCCCTCTCCCTTTAAGCTAGCTGTGGCTTTGGCCAATAACCACACTGTTATTTCCAGGTAGAAGCATTTATATACTAGCACTCAACCTTTCCTTTTCCCTGCCATGGTGACTGTAGAAATATGTTTCAGATGTCGTCTCCTTCGGCCTGAATTTCAGAGTGAACATAGTTAAACCCAAGGCCAACCTACATCACATAAGCAAGATACAAACCTCTGCTGCACTATTCCACGGAGACTGGGTGCTGTCTGTCATCCCCAGCATAACCTGGCCCATCTTGACTGGTGAACTGTTCAACTTCTTACCAAGTGCCCTGTACCTGCTTCCATCTCTCCATCAGCAGTCCCTTCTCATCAAGAGGAAATTGCTTGTTATTCTTGCTGTCCTATGGAGATTGTGCTCTTGCAGGCCACTTGTAACTTTCTTCTTGCCAAATGTCTTTTCTTAATGTGTAGCTGGCACAGCTAAATATTCCCCCAAATTTATCAGCCCCTTCTTTGGAATAACATTTTAACTGACTATATATGAGGGTACTTCAAAAAGTTCATGGAAAGATTGAATTAAAAGATAATAGGAATCCTTCCATGAAGTTTTTGGAGACCTCTTGTACATGTAGTTTGTGTCTTAAAAACCATCAGATTAGAATCATGGTATCACTTAATAACTGTGTGACTGAGAAAAATTCCTTCATCTTTCTCAGCTTCAGGTTCCTCCTCCGCAAACAGGGGACAGTGTTGCTTGCCTATTAGATGTCTGTGGTCACATTAAGCGAGATGATGTAGCCCATAGGGCATTTATTCTTCTCCTAACTTATATCAAGAAAATATTTTTTCCTGATAATAATAATAAAGTACACTCATTATACAGAATCTGAAAGGTATATATTAAAATTTTAAAAAAATTCTTCTCCTTCTACCTCGTTTATTTTCCATTCATCAACAAGTCCTCAGTCTCTATTTTGGAAACACTTCTTGGATCCATCATTCCCTCCTATTATTACTTTTGACACACCCAGCTCAGGTGTCTTCCCCTCTCACATGTATGATAGAGTTGAAAAGAATTATACATGCACACATATGTGTGTGTGTGTGCTCACATGCACGTGCATATGCACATGTGTGTATTCCTAGTTTCTGTCTCTACTCCTACCCTAAGTGAGGACATGGCTTTTCCTGATGAGCTTCTCCCCCATCACAGCACATTTCTCAGCAAGGTCTGTTCCTGATTTTATGGAACAGAATTAGCAAATGAGTAGCAAAGTGGAACTATGACAGTGGGTGCAAAGGGATTATAGGCTTTGAAGAGCAAGCTAAGAATGATCTATAGAACAGAAAGCAGGAGAAAACAGCAAGGAACAAAGAGCATTGAGACTGGAGATAGAGAGAAGTTTTGTTTTGTTTTAAGGGCAGAATAAGAGACTGGGGAGGAAAGAAAAAAGAGAAAAAAGTTTATTCCTGGGTCTCCTTCAATATTTTTCAGCTGCTTTGACCATGCCTTTGACTGTGTCTTTGAACTACGACTCACAGGTCTGGTATTCAGAGAGGTTCCACAGGAATTACTGTCATAACTTATCTCCCCATTGTCAGGAAAACATGCCTAAATCATCAGTATTTGTCAAAAATATCAGTGACTTGGCTCCAACATCTTGAAGATTCTGATTATCCACAGCAGTTGTTTTCGAACTGGGTTCCCTAGATCACCAAGGGTTTCACAAAGGTGTCTGGGGGCTGACGAACAGGTTAGTGGGATGGGAGGAGAATTGTGAACCAGCAGAGGTCTGCATCCACCATCTCACACTCAGATGGAGTTATTCCTTTTATCCATTTTATATATGGCATTCCACTTAGGATTTAATCTGAAATGTAAAAAATCTTAAATTTTAAAACACTGAGAATGGTTTAAAGCATGCATTATGAAGCCAGACAGTCCTAATAATAACTTCTTCACCATACACTGTTCACGGGACCTTAAGAAAGTGAGTTTCCTCATCTAGAACAATAGTACTTCTCATAAGAGTTATTCTAAGAATTACATGAAGCAATGACTATAAAGTTCTTAGTGCAGTGACTGGCAAATAGGAAAACACGTGGTACATTCTTAGCACAAGAGGTAACAGCATAGTGGTTAGGAACATAATTCAGGAGCTACCCTACCACTTACTAGCTGTGTAATTATAAAATTTTTGAGCCTCAAGTTCCTCATTTGTGAAGTGGGGCTAATTACAAAAATTAGCTCAAAGAGTTTTTGTGAGGATTAAATGGGTTAACATGTGTGATGCTCTGAGAACAATGCCTGGTATGTACATGGGTCCAGAAGAGTGACAGCTTTTCTTAAAACAGTGTCTGGTAAGTATTCAACCCTTTTTATAATTGCTTATTACTGAATTCAAAACTTTGTGCTTGCTGCTACCTAGCCCCAACCACACACACCCGACATACACCTCTGGACTGCCCTATGCTGACTCCTTTGCTTACCAAAACTGCCCATCCTTCAAGGCCCTGTCTACACCTGGCCTTCACAGTGTGAAGTGATCAAAAGCTGGAGTTCTCGAAGCAGTCAGACCTGGGTCAAATTTTGGGTCCACTTATAGGTTTTCTGTGACCTTAGGCCAATTTTAACCCAATGCTTCCTAAAAACTACGCACATTAGAGTCCTATGGAAAGCTTT